TTGGCCGCATCTGTGGCTTCTTTTTCGCTTCTGTGCAATCGCACCTGCGATCCTCAAGTTGCAGGTGCGGTTATGACAATAGACTCAGCAGCTTCAGCTGTAAATTTCCAACTCCAAACTTCCCGTTGACCATCCAAAACCATCCCGAGGCCCCCGGGACCTCAACCAAAAGCACGAACAAGTCATATACTACTATCCAAACTTATACCAATCTAAAACACCTAAAACAACATTGAAATATCGAATTAACATCGGATTCAAGCCTATGAATTTCAAAAACTTCCGAGTTACGCTTTCGATCAAAAAGCCTATCAAACCTCGTCCAAATGACCTGAAATTTGCACACACGTGACCCCGATATCAAAATCTCACTATCGAACCGGAAACTTCAAAAATTCAACTTTCAGCATTTCAAGCCTAATTAAGCTACGGACCTCCAAAACACAATCCGAATACGCTCCTAAACCTGAAATCACCCAACGGTGCTAACGGAACCAACAGAATTCCATTCCGAGGTTTCACACTGTTCCGACTACGGTCCAAATTCTAAAACCTAACTCTCATTTAGGGACTAAGTGTCCCAAAACTCTGCGGAACTCCAATTAAATCCTCCCGGCAACTCACAATAGCAGAAACAAACATGGGGAATGCAGTTAATAGGGGATCGGGGAGTTAATTCTTAAAACGACCGGCCGGGTCGTTACAAACGACTAGTAGTGAGTACTTGTTCAAACTAGGATAGAGTATGTTCCATGATTTTTAGAGGGTCATCTATCCAATTACCTTCTAAGTCTTTAAAGAAAACAATCTTATTTTTTCTTCTATTATTGGTGGCACATATGTGTAAGAATTTTGAGTTCTTTTCCCCTTCATTAAGCCAGTTGACTCTAGATCTTAGTTTCCAAAAATCTTCCTCCATTTTCACGATATTATTATACTCCAACTTGAGGGTGGATTCTAGTTCATTAAGGAAGGGGCTAAAAGTACGAATTTGAATTTTGAATGCCATTTAGTCTAGCCAGGATTTTTTTCTTTTTTTAAAAAGATCTCCAAATGTGACATTTTTCCAATCAGTGACACGATTTTTAAAGATTCTTGAAGCATCAAGAAAAGTTATGTTGTGCCAACATTCTTTAACAAAATTTCCAAACTCAGGATGGCCGCACCAAAAGGTTTCCAGTCTAAAAGGCTTTGGAAGAGAGTTTGATAGTTTGGGAATAAATTCTAGGAGAATAGGATTATGGTCCGAGTGGATTTTTGGCAAGTGAACTACAGATGCTTTAAGGATATATGCTAACCCAAGCATCATTAGCTGGAACCTTATCTAATCTTTCCATGATACGGTTACAACTAATTTTATTATGATTTGACCAGGTATATTTACAACCTTTAAAACCTAAATCCATGAGCTTACAATAATTAATTTTGTTCCATAGCTTGGCAGCACGTCGTCTATTAATAGGGTTACCTTCTAATTTCTCTGTAGCTACCAAAACATCATTGAAATCACCTCCCAATAACCATGCACCTTTATAGTTATCAAAGATATTAGTGATATTATCCCACATGATGTTTCTATTGGAGCTTTTTGAACTAGCATAAATTGAGGAAAATAACCAAGAGTGACGAGTAGGGTGTACCTCCATAAGAGCATGAATTTCATTGTTCCTTTTGACGAAATTGTTGACGTTCACCAAGTTTGTATCCTACATAACTCTCATGCCACCAGAATGTCCCTCAGTTGGGACTTCTATCATTTCCGTGAAGCCAAACTCGTTCATAAGACTACCATAGTTTGTCATCCTAGTTTCTAGCAAAGTGACCATACAGGGGTGATGGGTGGCTATTAGCTCAGGGAAATCTCTTCTAAACTCAGCATTGTTCCCTCCTCTAATATTTCAAATAATGATATTTTTAGCACGATTCATTTATTAGAGTGGGGGTTGAGGATGACCGTTCAACTGACTCCCTTGTGGGAATATTGGGTTCCTCCTTAATAAGGGAACCAAGATCATTGCAATTTTTCCCACAGTAGGGTCCTGAGGTGGTCTCATGTCCATTGTGCACTTGAATAGTGAACTTGGACATGCTAGGATAAGCCTCTTCTCCCGCCTCTCCTCCTCGAACAGAAATACCTTTACTTCGTCTAGGTTTGAGGATTCTACCATTAATTCCCCTGTTAGGTTGATTTCTCCCTCCATTCCCTCCCCATTCGAATTTCCTAAATATTGAGGCATTTAATGGTGTGGGACTTGTTGGTCCATTGCTCCTAGATTAATTGGCACTTGGGGTTGTATGAGGTTCTGAGAAGGATCCCAAGTCGTTAAGACTGGGTTGAGGGCAGTCAACTCTTGGGGGGGAAGTATGGAAAGTCTAGCCCCATATTCTGAGGAAGACATGGGTTTTGAGCATATTGTTGGGGTAGATTCCATTGAGCGCGCATGGCTTGGATCAAGTTGTTGTTCATGCCCGGTGCTAGTGGTTGCATGATGTTGTTTACCCAAATGTGGTTCATGTAGTTACTCATGGCTAGGTAGAGACTCTCGGACACTAATTGTGCTAGGAATTGAGGGTTTTAGATTAATACTATACGCTCCGGACCATTGACATTGAGTTGTAGTGACACTCCCCTCCCCATTAAACCTAACTCTATCGAGGATGTTGGGTGATGATCCTGGGGAAGGGGTGGTTGTGCGTAAATTATGGGAAGGATTGGGAGTTGCTGGGGGAAAGGAGGTAGGTTCTCAATGGTGTGTGGTCTTTCGTTTCTCAATATTTGGATTAAACGATACCTTCTCCGATGGTTCAGTGTAATTCTCGGCATTATTAGGAGATGAGGCTTGGTATTTTGAGGGTTGAGGGAGTGGAATAGGAGGAATGATAACCTCTATTTGCATGTTATTCGAGAGGTTTAGCGTGTTGAGAATTATAAAGGGGGTTGCATGGGATTTGTTAGGCACGTGTATAGGAATTTTTGCCATTTGCGATGAAGATTGATTTTGGTTGGACGGGTGTTTTTCCGCATGCAAAGGGGGATTGGGTGTAGATTGAGTTTTGTCCTTTCTGGACAGATTTAAGAACTTATAATCATCATTAGGGATTGTTTGAGTGTTACTCGATTGGGTAGTAGAGTTAATTAGGGAGGTCTCTTGGTTACTAACTAATTTGTCCTCTAGTGGTATTTGATGTATTTTGTCAAGTTTTGTCTTATGTGCCCGGTTCATGTAATCTTTGTTAGAGACATTTTAGATTTTTTGTAAGGTGGTATTTCTAATACCATTTGCTGGGGTTTTGAGCCATTGGTTGCAAGGTGGTTTTAAGTCTCTAAGGAATTGTTTTCATTGTAGTTTGGGAGTGAATTATGGGAGAGATCCGGAATTTGAACATTATTAAAAAGATTTGTCGTAACCTTATGAACATATTTAAATTTTTGAGCAGTAATAGACTTACCTGTTGTGGCATTGAATAGCCTAACATTTATACCTGTTTCTTGATTCCTTGTGTCAGCAACTTTTGGTTGGATTGATGGAAATTTCCTACTTCGTGGGAAATGAACTGTTTGCCAACCTTCATTAAGTGGCTGCGACGGTTGTAGTAGTGGTTTTGATGATTGATCCACTGGAGTAGAACTTGACTCAATTGCTGAAGATTGTTGTTGAGGACATGAGGTGTTTTTATGACCTAGTCTCCCACATGTTTTGCAAAGATAGTTGTCCGCCTCATAGTGTATTAGTTGTCTATGTCTTCCAATGAAAATGAATTTTTTCACCAGTTTATCCATGGGTAATTCGATGCAAAGTCTTGCGTATCTTCCTCTAAGGGAAGAAGATGTACAAGCATCTACCTTCAAAAGCCTTCCTATGGCACCCCCTACTTTTTGTAGTATTTGGCTATCGTAGAATTCTGTAGGTAATTGAGGGAGTCTTACCCAAATAGCTGTATGGATTTGTTTTGCATTCATAGCTACAAAATTTGATTGCCAGTGTTGGATAGATAGAAAGAATCTATAAATAAACCATGGGCCTTGTTGAAAGATTAGGTTCATATTTTCTTCTTTATATAATTTGACAATGTAGTAATCATTGCCCAAATATATGAGTGGGAAGTTTTCGTTGATTCTCCATAATTCTAGAATTTTTTGTTTCAAAGTTTGGTGCAGGATCCTTTTACCATGAAGCTTTATTATTAAGGAGTATTTTCATTGGTTGTAAATCCTTTGTTTGTCCTCAGAGGTGATAGGGACGGAGATAGCAGAATTTTCATCCCCTTCCTTTGGATGGGGATTGGTCTCTTCCTGTTGAATATCCATAGGGTGAAAGAAGGAAGATAAAGGGTCAGTAGAGATATCAATTTTTCCGTCGTTCCCAATGAGCTTTTCCTTTAATGAGAGCGGAAAATTGTGGCCTTTAGAATTACTAAGTTATAGTTATCCTCACTTGATTTATTAGATATTAAAATGTCCCGTGGTTTTGGGTAGTATCAAGGTTTGAAGAATTTGAATTCAGTTGAGCTTGCAATTAGTTGAAGAAAATAGAGAGAATGCAGGTTATAGGTTAGAGAGATGGGAGGGCTTCTCTCTCTTTATCGTTATAAGCTCTTCTCTGACCCACTAAAAATGTACCTCTCTACTATAAGCTAAAAGAAAAATCTCATTGCCTTTTCCTTTATAACAAATTTTATTTCTCTAATGACATTTTCTAGACTTGGTTGTAGAAAATTAGGGAATTTTGCCACAGTATAGCCGTTTCTCAAAATAGTAGCCGATAAAAGTATATCTATTTGTATAATAACATATAATATACTTATTTTATGTATGATCAGTGTATATTTCTTATATTCGGCTAACTGCTGTAACTCTATTTCACCGACTGGCCAAATGTGTTAAAATCTTAAAGGGAAATGGGCTTAAGCCCAAGAAGTCATTAGGCTTAAAATACACATCTTTCAGGCTTGACCCATTTACTATATCTCTGCTTGTCGATGCTATATATTCACATTTCAGGACGAAACCCTAGTTTTCTCTCTGCTCTTCTACCCAAAAACCCTAGCAGTAGCAGCTTCTCCTCCAATGGCTACAGCTGCCGCCATTCCCACCACCACCGTTCAAGCCCTAGAAAATGACATGGCTACTGACGGCGCCGTCCCTCTCCCCGCCGTCATGAAAGCTCCGATCCGTCCCGACGTTGTCACCTACGTCCACTCCAACATTTCCAAAAACGCCCGTCAACCTTATGCTGTATCAAAAAAAGCCGGCCACCAGACCTCAGCTGAGTCATGGGGTACCGGAAGAGCTGTTTCACGTATTCCCCGTGTTGCCGGTGGTGGTACCCACCGCGCCGGTCAAGCTGCTTTCGGTAACATGTGTCGTGGTGGTCGAATGTTTGCTCCGACGAAGATCTGGCGCCGATGGCACCGTAAGATTCCCGTGAACCAAAAACGATATGCCGTTGCTTCAGCTATCGCCGCTTCTTCAGTTCCATCCCTTGTCCTCGCACGCGGCCATCGTATCGAGACCGTCCCCGAGCTTCCTCTCGTTGTTTCGGATTCGATCGAAGGGATTGAAAAGACTAACAATGCTATCAAGGCTTTGAAGCAAATCGGCGCTTATCCAGATGCTGAAAAGGCTAAGGACAGTCACGCAATTCGTCCCGGAAAGGGAAAAATGCGTAACCGTCGCTACATTTCTCGTAAGGGACCACTGATTGTGTACGGAACCGAAGGTGCTAAGCTCGTGAAGGCGTTTAGGAACATTCCCGGTGTTGAAATTTGCCACGTGGATCGATTGAACTTACTCAAGCTCGCTCCAGGTGGTCACTTAGGAAGGTTTGTTATTTGGACTAAATCAGCTTATGAGAAATTAGATTCGATTTATGGATCATTCGATAAGCCTTCAGAGAAAAAGAAGGGGTACTTATTGCCACGGCCGAAAATGGTGAATGCTGATTTGGCTAGGATTATTAACTCGGATGAGGTCCAGTCTGTTGTAAGGCCGATTAAGAAGGATGTTAATAAGAGGGCTACATTGAAGAAGAATCCACTGAAGAATTTGAATGTGTTGTTGAAGCTCAATCCTTATGCTAAGACTGCCAGGAGGATGTCACTTTTGGCTGAGGCCCAACGGGTTAAGGCCAAGAAGGAGAAGCTCGACAAGAAGAGGCATCAAATTACAAAGGTATCATCTTTAGAATTTTGGGTTAGTTTTATAAGTTGCAAATGCTTATATATTTCGGTGATGATTAACATTTTTTTGTGAATATTTGCTCATAGAAGAATCATATTAAATTAATTGTATTTTCTTTTTGAAGGTTAATTATAGTTAAGTATAGTTTCAGTTATGGTAAAATAAGTCCGTGCAAATATTTGCTCATAGAGTCATGTTAAACGAAATTGCGGTTGTAGAATTAGTTGCAAATATTTGCTTATAGAATCATTTTAAAGTTAACGGAGTAGTAGTTTAGTGGTGTATGATGAATCGATGATTGAAGATTTTGATGACAGATATTTGCTCATAGAATCTTGATTTGTGTAAATTCTAGATGTGTTTCCCAAATAATATGAAAATTTAGGTAAACTTGGTTTATGCTTTGGTATAATTCTATTTCTGCTTTTTTGTTGTTTGCTACATGTGATTACGTTTTCTGAATCTATTAGTAGTGTAGGAGTCTATTTGCTGCATACCATTTGTTACCAATGCACAGTTGTAGCAAATAAACCTTTGTTATTACACCTGCTATACCTTATTACTGATTTGATTGTTTGATTGATGTTATTGTTCTTGGTCTTATTGTGTTTGCTCTGAAGCAACTATTTTCACCTTTACTTTTGAAAATAAAGCGGATCTTTACTCACTACTGTAGAAGTGATAAGTGTACTCTCAGATCTTTTGGCTAAGATCAACTGTTAAGTGTAGGAAAAGTTTGAGGTCTGAAGTGTTAGGGAACTAGGTCTTTGTAATATTTCTTTGTGAGCTTGGTTCGGTATGGAGATGGTTGCTAGCTGTTTGTGATAAGAAAGGGATATTTTGGTAGGAAGGACTTAGATTTAAGACTATCTACTGTTTTATTTTGAAGTTGTAGATGAAAGTGTCTTGTCTTTCATTTGAAAAGTTCCTGATATCTGATTTACATTTCTGTAAAATAAGCTGAGTGATAAGATTCAGGACATGTGTTTAAGATTATCTACTTATTTATTTTGCGGTCGTTGATAGAAGTGTTTTCTATTTCATTGGAAAAGTCTTTATCTTGTTTACATTTCTGTAAGAATAAGTCTACCATAAGAGAAGAGGTGCCTCTTACACTAATTGATAATTCCGTTTCAATATAGTTGTCTCCAATTTTACTTCGCCTCAACTGAACATTTGTTAAGCTGTACATAAAATTTGTGAGCTGCATCATGCATGCATCCTCCACTGCTCTTCTGATTCCATTTTTCCGTTGCAGGAGGAGGCATCTGCTATCAGATCTGCAAGCCATTCGTGGTACAAGACAATGATCTCAGATTCTGACTATACAGAGTTCGACAACTTCTCAAAGTGGCTTGGAGTTTCTCAGTGAAGAGACTTTCCCTTTTATGAAATCATGTTAGATGTTTACTTGTTGGTTTAGTCTGTTCTTTTGTTCTACTTTGGAGGTCCAAGACATAAAGAGAGGAAGTGGGTGGAAAATTACAGGCTATATGCCTGGATTTTCCCTGCCCACATTTTGAGTTTATTTTTTAGCTGGAGTATAAATTTAAAAGGTATGGAGTTAAGGATTTTTATTTGAGTAGTTTGTTTTTTGGATCGTTTTCGAATATTGGATGTGTGAGTTTGACTTGAAGCTTATATTCCTTTTGCTACATAGATGCATATTAAGTTGATAGTACTTCCTCCCTTTACTTTCACTTTGTTCAATTTGGACTTTTCACGTCTCTTAAGAAATAATAAATGTAACATGTATTTTATCAAATACCCCTAATAATATAACATTTCAAAATATTTTGGAAATGAGTAATTAATGATAAGGGTAAAATAAGAAAAAAATATTTTTTTCCTTGATTTGCTAAAATGGACGTGTAAAAGTGAAAATGTAATGTTTTTCTATTATAATGGACGGCGGAGGGTGTATTATTTGACTATGGCTAATGTGTCCATAAGCTCTATTTGCGAGAATTTCAATTAGTATTGACAATTTTTAGTTGTGTGAAGAAAAGATTTCAATCACATTTCCCCCCCTTTTAGTTATAACTTATAATTTTAAATTTCAGACAAATTGAATGTAACATGTTGTAAACGTACGGGTATAGAGGGGAGAGCTCAACAATATATAACTTCTCAGGGATCGTTTGGTTAGGAAACAAGTTATCCCATAATTAATTATTTCGGAATTAGTTATCCCACCTTTTCATAGAATAAAAAGATATTACAATCCCAAGATAATTAATCCTCAACAATATATAACTTCTCAGGGATCGTTTGGTTGGGAAATAAGTTATCCCATAATTAATTATTCCGGAATTAGTTATCCCACCTTTTCATAGAATAAAAAGATATTACAATCCCAAGATAACTAATCCCGGGATTAGTTATACCACGATTTTATCCCAACTAAACATGAGATTTACTCATCTCAAATTTAATCTCGGGATTAATTATCCCTTATCCTTCGTACCAAACTAGCCCTTAGATTGCTTTGCGTTAGCAAAACTATGCCGACAGTTCTAACTTTCATAGCATAAAAGTTTTTATCATCTCTCCAAATGTAAGCATTACTACAACCTTCTTTTTGTTTCTTACCCGATGTTCAGTATGTGTATTAGAGTTCCGACTAACGTTTCTATCAAGATTTTTTTCATTTTAAAGGTTCGAACTTGAGACTTTTAATTAAAGATGAATTTTATTATCCCACCACAATCCTCTAATTATAACCTTCTCGTGATGATGCAGGTTAAATATCTGTTTTCAATTATGAGCAATGGTGCAGCTTTTGAGGTTGTCGGTCCTGAAGGCCCATTTTTAAATGTAATTAGGTTAGTGAAGATCCAAAAGACAAATTTTGTAATGGGATCACACGAATAGTTGGTTGGATTTACAGTTTATTTTTCTAACCGGTATACATAAATTGTACATTGATTTTATACATATTATACATAGATTATATATATACTATATATCCATCGATTATTTTTAACTTAAGCGGTTGGGTGGACGGGTATTTAGGTGGGGGAAATGCACAGTTAGCCACTAATTAGAGATGTATTTACTCTTTAGCCAGTGTTTAAAATGTATTTGCTCTTTAGCCAGTGCTTAATAAATTTTTATCCTCCCGGACGAAAATACCCCTGTGCTGGACATGGGTGTTGTGTAAATATTAAGGACATGATGTCTTTAACTTCACGAATGCTGTGTAAATATTAAGGACAAAGTGTCCTATCATGTCCTTAACTTCATATGGAGTCCGGAACCAAAATGTGGTTCTTTGGACTCAAAGTACACAAATAGGTGGTAAAAAAAAAAGTTACATTTTTATATATAGTGCCACAGTACCTGGCGCTATACATTAACGGTAACTGCACCGTTAATGTATAGCGCCATTTATTGTGGCGCTATACTGCAAAAGGTGACAGGGTCAGGTATAGCGCCACAATAACTGGCGCTATACCCCTTTGTTACTTTTGTCAATTCTGATGCCATTAAAGTGGTCTCTTTCTTTCCTTCAGTCTCTCTTTTCATTTTTATTTTATTTTATTTTTCGATGCCAGTACAATATAATCATCTCTTGTTCCTAGTCTTTTACCCCACGAGCAGCTAGTACATGTAGTTAGCAAGAATCCAACTAAATAAACTGGGCTAAAGTGAATTAATATGCTTGGAAAACAAATTAAATTGGATAAAGAACCACTTTAGTCACAATTTTGCATAGTACAAATAGGTTTGGTTTTGAAACCAACTGGGCTAAAGTGAATTAATATGATTAGTTCATTTTTATTTGTTTTTTCGAGTTTTTCGGGGTTTTTATTAGATGAATATGGAACAACAAAAAAATTGACGCGTTTCAATAATATTTGATAAGAAAGTAATGATATAACCTATTATTTAAAGTATAAAAAAAAATAGATACATTCCATGAGAAGATCACAAATATTTTTAGATATCTTTTGAAAAAAATTCTTTATAAATTCTTCAATGTATCTATAAAATTATATATTTATATGTCGGTTTGATTCGAATTTTTATTACTCAATACCAAACCAATCAAATCAAACCTAATTAAATTTTTAAATTGATTTGATTTGACTTATTCAGTTTGAACAACCATAATATTTGTTGAATGATCTCCATGTGTTTTCGGAAAGACCAAAAAGGAAGAAATAAAATATTGGGGCAAACTTGTCTTGCACAAAGATACAGCATGGGAGGCCCCATATATAGACTGATCACTAGCAAAACTAACAAAGGGGTATAGCGCCAGTTATTGTGGTGCTATACCTGGGCCCTGTCAACTTTTGCAGTATAGCGCCACAATAAATGGCGCTATACATTAACGGTGCAGTTACCGTTAATGTATAGCGCCAGGTATTGTGGCGCTGTATATAAATATGTAACTTTTTTTTTACCACCTATTTGCGTACTTTGAGTTCAAAAGAATCACATTTTAGTTCCGGACTCACTTCATATGTGCAGGTAAATGTTAAGGACATGGCGTCCTTAACTTCATGTGTGTAACTTGTATTTGCACTTTTTGTTGTTAAACTTTAGGACCTTATGTCCTTAATTTCATATATGTAGAGTGTCCTTAACTTTATGAGTATTGTGTAAATATTAAGTACATGGTGTCCTTAACTTCATGAATGCTGTGTAAATATTAAGGACAAAGTGTCCTGTCAAGTCCTTAACTTCATACGTGCAGTGATTTAATGTCAGGGACATGGCGTTCTTAACTTCATGTGTGCAGTGTAAATATTAAGGACACCATGTTAATTTTAATAGAGTAGTGACTATTTTTGCTCAACATGAAAAATACTGGATAAAAACTAATTATCATGTTAAAAAGTGGCTATCCCACGCTATTTCTACTATTTAGGTCAATTCTTCTTCTCTTCTAATTAACATTTCTGGGTCCAGTAAGTTGGTAATCCATGAAATTTATAATTAAAATAAATTGTTCAAACAAAAGTAAAATTTCTCCAATATAATGTTTTAATTTTTGGAAAGACTAACATCTTACTCGGTTTTTTCCAATTTTTCAAGAAATTGAAAAACCCCTCTCTTGAAATGTTTGGTGAAATTCTTTTGTGAACTGTTTTCACACTTTCAATTAGAATGCCACTAAACGAGGGTCAAATTAAAATTGTCTTTTACAAAGATTTCTTATCTATGTCGTATTTTTACATAATTTCTAAAACATTTACTACCTTTATTCTACTTTATGTGACACAATCATTATTTGGAGAGTTAAAAGGAACTTTTTTTTATCACGAATTTTTCGTATTTCTTTTATGTATTTTAGATATTTAATTATTGTGGAGATATAATATTTTTTTAATATAGTTTCTAAATTCACACAAAAAGTTAGATAATTTGACGCTCATATTTTGAACCGTCTCACATAAAATAGGAAAGAGGGAGTCGCTTGTATTCTTACTAACAGCTTGTTTGGATGGTTGTTACCAATTGTATCGTATTGTATTGTTATCCCAAAATAATATTTATTTTGATTGTTTAGTTAAAATTAGTTGCATTGTATTGTTAAATTCATTGTTCCGAAACAGTAAAAAATTTCATTTTATGAAACAACCGATTTGGTGTGATGGGATTGTTTCCTATTTTTCTTTCCAATTATGCCTAACTTATTACTCTATAATTCTATTTTACTCTTTAAATTTTTTTATTTTTTATTTTATTTTAACTCCAACCTATAACCTACGTTTCGTCTCTTTTTTCCTTCTGCGGCTTCCAACTCCAACATCGGGTATAGGTTTTGCCTTCCTTTTGTTTCATTCTTTCTTCGACTTTGATTTTTAATTTCAGTTTTAATTACTTTATATCTGATTAGTTGAATAATTCTTGATAAATTAATTATTTAAAATAATTGAGGGTATTTTAGTAACTTTATCAGTTACAGTACAGTACGATACAGTCAAAACAAATAATAAAATATTATTTAAAAGCAAACAATATAATTTATTCAAATATTATATTCCTAAAATGGTACTATACAATACGATACATTATAAAATGATGAATAACAATGATCCAAACATATGGTAAGTAAATTAGTTCAGTACCTTTAATAAATCAAAGGAAACATCTAATTTTGAATAGAGGGTCCATTATGAATAGTCCACTCTTTACTCACTTCACACGCAAAAATAAATAAATAAATAAAATAAAACAAACAAATAGTAAAGGAGTTCTATTCTAATATTGAGTTGTCACCTTTTAATTATGCTTGTCTTGTTTCTTCTTTTTCATCTCTTTTCATGTCAAAAAAAGACAAGAAATGATGAGACACAATTATGAACAATATTCGAATCAGACGATAGTAAATTTCAAGTGAAGAATGGAACTTGATGAAGACATTCAGTATAATTTCTTACAAATTAAAATTGAAAATATTCATAATTATAGCCAGAGTAACATATTCTACATTTGTTGCATCAACCATTAGAGAAATCACTTTTTTATTTCCATTTTTGGGTCAAAGACTGACCTCCGAATAGTAAAAATGATTAATTACACACAAGGTCGATCTTATGGTATAATTCGAGGAAAATAACTTACAATTATAATCTCTGAATAGTTAGAATTATTTTCTTTAAAAAGAAGCAGTGTTACATACTCCATCTGTTTCAATTTGTTTGAACTTTTTAGCAATACA